CAATTAATATATTTGACTCAGGTATGACTTATCTATATTAAACATTGATTGATTGATTGATTGATTGATTGATTGATTGATTGATTGATTGATTGATTGATTGATTGATTGATGATGCCTTTTTTTAATTAGAAAATCTAACACTTGCGGAGGAAATGTATGTCGAGTCAGCCAAGGATACCTATTTTGATGAGTCATCAGATTCTTTTATTACGTCGATTTTCCGAGCAAATAGATATTTTATAGGAAAAAACGTAAATAATAATAAATAATAATGATAATGGTGTGTGTGCAAGATAAAATTGTTTATAATAAATGATATATTTTTAGATCTATCACATTCGGATGACTAGGTTGGTCACCAATAGAATAATACCCTCATTCCTAGATAATTTCGGATTTCAGCCAAGCCGTAATACACTACCTTATATTACAACAATCATTTGTAAGTCAAATAAATTTTTTATTGTGAAATATACCATCATAAATGATTCAATAAATAATAAATTGTTTAGATCCATCGACAAGAAATTCGTCTTTTTTTACACCAGGAGTGACAGGATTCATGATTGATCCGCATAATTTTGTAGTTGAAACGAAGACAGAACAACGGCAAGTAAATAAAATTAATTAGTGATTGAATTACACATGTGCTGAATTTTTTTGTAACAAAAAAATTTCAGCACACATGAATTGAAATAATTTCTAACAATGGCTGTTTTTTTATTTTGACCATAATACAGAAATAAAAATGCAAGTATATTTTATTAATTAATAATTGTCATTGTCATTATTATTATTATTAAATTATTTTTAATTTTTATATTAGTTTCTGTCCGTGATCTCGAATGTATTGGCTGTGGGAGGAGCATTCTTAACACTTTATGCCATTTTATTTGGTAATTAATTATATACATTAATGCATAATCATATTACACAGTGTTCAGATTTATAATTGTCTTCATTAATTGTTTTAGGTGTTGGTCCAATCAAACCATGGGGAGTTGTCCAGCAATGGTTTTTTAGGACAACAACACATGATGGACTTAAGGACAAATTAGGATCAACTCATGTACCTTTATTTTATAAAAATAAAGAAAATTCAGATAAAAATGAAGAAAATTCAGGCAAAAATGAAACGGATGTTGGTCTAATGAGATATCTAAAGAAATGGTTCTTTATAACAAAAACACATTGCAGATTAGGATCAATCCTATTTTTATTTTATAAAAAAAAATCAGGTGAAAATGAAAGGAATGCATTAATAGATGATGATTGTGAAGAAACTGATGCATCAACAACTACAGAAAATGATAAAAATCATCAAGCCGCTATAGACATTGATACACCAACGGCTACTACAAATTATGAAATAGTTCCAGAAATTGATGAATCAACAACTACTACAAATGATAAAGATAATGAACTGTCTTTAATGAAAAAGCAACTTGATAGCGTAAAACATGAACTGTCTGAAACGAAACAACAACTTAACGCTCTAATAGAGCTTCTTAAACACCATGTTGTTAAAATTCCTCAGTTAAAAAAAGATGAAGACGAAAATAAAAAAGGCAAAAATAAAAAAGGCAAAGGCGAAAATAAAAAAGACAAAGATGAAAGTAGAAAAGACGACAACGAAAATAGAAAATACGAAGACGAAAATAGAAAAGACGCAGACGAAAACAGAAAAGACGAAGACGAAAATAAAAAAGATGAAGACGAAAGAAAAGTTGTAAAATTTTCCGAAGCAGAAATAGATTCTATTTTATATGCTGGAAATAGTCGCTCGATATAAGAAAAAGTTGGATTTGACAAAAAACTTCACTATATAGTGTGATTCATTATGTAAATATTTACCACGATACAACTTTATTAATAAATAACATAAAAAATTATAAAATAAATAAAAAAAGAAAAATAAATAAATAATATACAGATAATTTCATAATCATTTCGTAATCCAACTGTCCAATGTGCTTTGTTTTTTTTTAGAAGCAGTATGTTTTTTTTAATGAATTATTTAAAGGGTAAACTTATATACAGAACCTACGTGACAAATAAAATTTAAATTTTTAGAGTTGGTAAATACTCTGTAATTAGAGGTTGTAATCGTCCTAGTTGGTCAAAAATTTCTTTAGTCGACTATTAGTTGATAGTCGATTAATTTTAATTTTTTTTTTTAATTTGCAAATTACGAATTTATTTCCATTTGAATCTTTCACTTTTTCAAAATGCTTCCACACAAAA